TCCGAGATCTCTTTCATTTTTCGTCCGGCTGCTGCCAATCCAATAATTCGTCGCCGCATGTACTCAGACAAGCGATTAATCGTCACAGTCATATACTAGTAGGTTTAAGTCCAATTGATTTGTAGAAATCAGCTATGTGATAATTATATGTGTAGTTTTGTTTTGCGCACCCAGACACGAGCAAAAGTTAACCAATAGATTTTCTGAACTACAGCATTCGTATTACTTATGCAAATTGAGTAAGGGTCATAGTGCGAGTTGCGTTCGCAAATAAAGTGTCAAATTATTTTGAGCGCCGTTCGGAATAAATTTCAAAATCAAGTCAAAATCACACACACACACACAAACACACAACACACAAATACTAGTACTCAATACATATCGCGATTGACCAGTTATATAGCTGCTTGAACTACACACACAAGGACGTAAATATGTAAATACAGGTCACAGTTCGACTTGCGTAGCAAACGTTACAATGTGTCAAGTGATTTGAATGCGTCTTTGTTCCAAAACAGAGAAGCAATAGGCGTTGTGTTTTGAATCGTCATTATAACCTAAATTTATTACGAATAAAAACTTAAGTTTATAAATACAATGTACGATCATTGTTACTCCAGCGGTCGGTTGGCAAGCGAACGATGTTTCTGAAGCCAGCCATAGCAGGAGCAAGCGAGCGAACAAAAGCGAGCGAGCAAACAAAAGCGAACGCGAGCGAGCGAAAAAAAAAACGGTCGGTTTCCGATAAGAAAGCAGCGAGCAATCGGAAATTAAGCGATAAGCGGTCGGGGAAAAAAGCGATAAAAGCGAGAGGTTGGGCAGAATGAGTACTGTACGCCCGTAAAGCCCAATGCACTTATGGGCACTGGTGTCGGTCAAATGACCACGCAACGTGGCCTTCCCAATCCGCACTACCCGCCTTAACAAAGGTATGGGTACCGGGATTGGTGGAGCAGACTGTGGTACCGCGTGAGTGTCCCACACCGGGGACCCATCAACGGTTCGCATAGCCCCAATAGGGTATGGATTCACCCAATTGAAGGCATTGGACATGACTGCTCCGAAACCAGGTTCAAGCTGTTTGTCCTTTACTCCTGAAGGGTACCAATAGCCCCCTTCATCACCCTCTGAGTCCCCTCCATAGCTTGGGCCACACAAGGTGCCCATGGGAGTTGGCCAGCAAGCGTGGTCTCTACGCTGGCAGTGAAAGAGGAGAGTGCCGATGAAAACAGGTCCAAAGGTGACTCTCCCATCCAGGGGGTGGGATTATTACCGGCCGAGTACGAAACAAAAGTCTTGCGACCGTCACTGTCCGGTTCACAAGCTGCAACCTTAACTGCCCATTAGTAAGGGACAGCTGGGCTCCAGTTGGTTGGGTATCCTGTGACTGCCCCAACAAAGTGGAGACGAGAGATGACAAAGCGCTCCCCCACCCTCCTCCTCCTCCTGTTGGGGAGGAGGAGGAAGAAAGGGGAGCTATGTGTGGTATGTGGTAGCTGCACCACATATGAGGGTTACCAACAGTAGAGTCCCCTTCCCTCACAAAGTCATAATCTGGGCGGCCTGGTAAGACACAGGAAATGATGCCTGGTCAGCCCGAACCTGAGGGGGGTGTGGGGAATATGGAAGAGGATGTGTAAGGCGGTTCGTTCCAGGGAGAGGGCCCCCTCTATAAAAGAAGTGGATGCTCCCTTTCCCACTGATGTGAGTTGTCCCCCCACTGACCCTCTAAAGGAGAGATCACTGGGAGAATGGGAGACACTTGACCCTAGCCCTGGTGGTGGAGGGACACCCCCAGGTCCTCCCCTGAGACTGCAGAATATAGTTGACTGTTGAAGCCTGATTACGCATCCAAGCTTTCCAAGCCATCTCGTCATCATGGGAGAGCTGGTCACCTTGACTAGTACCGATAAAGGAAGGCAACGTCCCTGTCCCTGTGATTGCGCAATCCACTCTGCGTCGGTACAGAAAAAGTCTCAGCAAAATAAACCGGTTCAGTCTCTAAAGGCCGTACTGATTCCAACTCTGAACTCGGTGTCGATTTCAGCGCCCAAGCGGGAATACTGGTGACATGGTGACTGGAAACTCTGATCCCCTAGAAAAAGCGGTTGAACGTTGTTTGCCGCCGCGGCAACATCAAATGGGGAAAAAACTAAACTCCGCGTTGGGAGAATTTAGATCCACCGCCAGTGTTTCCACGTTATCGACCGACGTCTCTGTCATCTCAGAGATAAGCGGTTTTGAAGGTCTTGTCTCAATCGTCGACCCCGCTACTTCGAGCAGGGAGACAGATCTCCAACTGACAACTCTCCAACAATTTTAGGAAGAGATTTATTTCACTCATTGAATCTGACATTACATCACTAGCTGCGGCTAGGGATTTCCCCTTTTATCAGAATTTATACCAGCTTTTAATCGCTTGCCTTCAGCTTTGCACCTCACCTCACAATGCAACTAGGTTTTTTGGGTCCCATTGATCGCAGACACCCTCCTGGCAGAACTCCGAGTCTCTGACACAGCCGAGGTACGAATGGCAACACATATGCGGGTCCCAAAAAGGCATTTGCTTAAAGATAAGCATGTCTTATGTCCGACTGCTGCGTCAGAACATTCTTCATCTTTTTGGCGATTTAGGCTTTATGCCGTCTGGAAAAAAGGACGCAATGAGATCCTGAAAAAACAAGAAAATTCACCGCGCCAAAATCCGGAATCTGGTGAATATAAACTGAGCCGGCGATTCAACTACAACAGGTAAAAACAAAAAGGGGCCCCTAAAAATGGGAAGCCTTTACCGTAATGGAGTTGATCACCAACACTAGATTCCTAGATAATCTCAGTCATAAAACTGTAACCTGCACTCTTGTCCTGTGTAGCAGCAGAGCTGAAAAATATCTGCATCCATTGGTCGTGGAAACAAGAAAGAATGAACGGATCGGGCCTCATGTGTGTGAACGCCTTGAGGGTGACCCCTCAGGAGAGGCCTTTGTTCTATAGGGAATGCTACCCTAGGGTGTTCTGTAATTAAGCCTAACGAGTAATAAATGGAATTTATTATTTCCACTGACTTTCTGGTTGGTGATGTAGTAAACTAGCCTTATTTACATACCTTTTCTTGTCTCTTTCTTGCTTGTTCTTTCTCTTTATTAGACTGTTTGAGTTTATCCTTCAGCTGCTGTTGTAGTTCAGAAAGTGTTTTGCCAAGTATATCTCTATCACTATATGGTGTGATTTCATCACCATCATCAAGATTAACTGTCATCTCATGCAGTCGCTTCACAATATCCTCTGGTCTTATACTATTATGTAAAACCTCATCAATCTGCTTCTGTTGCCCACGGAGACGATCTTTCAGAGAATCATTAGTTGCCTGTAAAACAACATAATACAATAAGCTATCCAAATAATTATTTTTGGAGATGACAAGAAAATCACATTTTATTTGTTGAATGAATGAATTATGTTAGCATTAACCTAACCTAATCATTAACCTATTATTTATAGTGGTGACGTAGAAATAAAACTGGCAGCAGAATGTATCACAAAATGTGTAAAATATAGAAAGAAATTCCATAAATAATAAACAAGCGACATTGCAGTCAAAAGAGCTTCGCTGTAATTGTTAACCTGCGAGTTGGAAACGTAGGGTGGAGTGATGTTGATAAAGTTTTGCACCATAAGAGAAACCTTGACCTCAACTTCAACACTGTTGTCTAATAGCAGCAAGTATATAAACATTGAAATGACCTGAAATTCAACATTTTTTTAAAACTTTGGGCCAGGTAGTTCAGAACCCAACACAATGTGTACTAATCAAGCAGCCTCTCGGCTGAGATAGCTCCGCTGTGAGCAATGCTCATTACAATTAAAGAACAGAAGATATTATTAGAAAATGAACAATATGTATAGTATCAAAACAATCAGACTTGCGGTTTTCAACAACATTGGAAAATATCACTTTTTACAAAAAAATTACAAAAATATTCACCAAAATTAGAGAATTAAAGATATCATTACAAAATGAACAAATCTGAGAGAGGTCCACATGTAGTACCTATATATGTAATATCAAAGCAATCAGACTTACAGTTTTTAACAAGAAGTCGAAAATATCACTTTTTACCAAAAATGACAAAAATATTCACCAAAATTAGAGAATTAAAGATATCATTACAAAATGAACAAATCTGAGAGAGATCCACATGTAGTACCTATATATGTAATATCAAAGCAATTGGACTTGCGATTTTTAACAAGAAGTCGTAAATATCACTTTTTACCAAAAATGACAAAAATATTCACCAAAATTAGAGAATTGAAGATATCAACACGAAATGGAACAAATCTGAGAAAGGTCCACATGTAGTATCTATATATGTAATATCAAAGCAATTGGACTTGCAGTTTTGAACAAGAAGACAAAAATATCACTTTTTACCAAAAATTACCAAAATATTCACCCAAATTAGAGAATTGAAGATATCATCATGAAATGAACAAATCTAAGAGAGCTTTACCCCAGGTACATACACACCAAGTATCAAAGCATTCAAACTTGTAGTTTTCAAGAAGAAGTTGAATCAAAGAAAGCTTAGAAAGAACTCCCGTGTGCTGAGAGAGTATTGGAGACACAAAATTACTTGAACTTGAGAAATTGATGAAAACGCAGAAAACTAATTATGCAAATAAGGTAACTAATATGAACAGATTTAAGTGTAAAACTAATAAGGTCTGCACAATGTACCAAGTTTCATTGAAATATGATTAGAACAAAAAAATTATTAATTATTATGCTAATTAGAAAATTAATATGAACAGATTTTAACCCAAAATTAGGGACGACGTCAAAAGATCAAAACTTATTTGCTTTAGTTTAGGGGTGGGGGGTTTTGACCTCAAAAAGTTTCTATCCTACAAAAACGATTTTATTATTTTTTAATGAAGTCAAAAAAAAAATATTGGAGTATTTGTAATTCGTTTTTTCTCTATCCAATCGTGGACAAAAATGAAAAAAAAAACATCCAAGACGAGAAAATGGTTTGGTCCGAGTGTAAAGTCTTTTTACACCCACCAGACAACCAACTGCTATGCCATACTACTGTCAGATTATCAATTTGTATTTAATGGTGAATGTAGTCTGACGCCATGGTAAATATTTAAGTTTCAGTGGGGGGTTTGGAAAAAAACTAAAGGAATTATGTTTTTTATCCTACATTGAACTTTTGATGTTGTCCCTTAATAAGGCAGTCTATTGTCCTAGAGCATTTATGTACCAAGTTTTATTCAAATGTGATGATCAACACTTGAGATATCAGTATTAATTAATTATGTTAATTAGGTGATTAAGAAGCATAAATATTTACCAAAAACTAATATGGTGTATAGTCCTAGGTTCATTGAAATGTGATGGGTACTCTTTAAAAGTGTCATTAAAATCCAATGAGTGGTTCTTTAGAAATAGTGCAACAGCCATAGAACAGCAAAAAATTAACTAATTGTGCAAATTAGGTAATTAATATGCACAATTATTTATCCCAAAATTAATCAGGTTACTGCAT